TAAATAAACGTAAGATAGTTTGGTTTTGGCAAAGACATATAGATAAGTGGAGCAAAATAGGGTCCAGAAATATACTCAGATTGTGCACATTTTTTTTTTTTTTACAAAATTGCCAAGGGAATTCAGTAGGGAAAGAAAAAAAACCTTTTCAAACTAACAGCAGTGAGTGAAAATAACAAACAAAATTTAAAAAGAGCAGCAAGTAACATTTTGAGTTTAACAATCAAAGTAAACTCAAAATGGCTAAGCAAATTTAAAATGATCGAAGTTCTGAAAGAAAATATAGGAAATCTTTTTGACCTTGGGCCTAGGTGAAGGATTCTCAGAAAATATACAAACTATAAAAGAAAATGAATTGGTGAGTTGGTCTTCAACAAATTTAACTGTTGTTCTTCAAAAGATACCATGAAAAAGGCAAGAGCAGCCGCCGTGAGGGAGAAAACTTTGGCAGTGATTCCATCAGACATAGGGTTTGTATTGAGAATACGTAAAGGACTCCTGCAACTCAGTCACAAGACATAGAAACTTCAAAATAAGTGGATTTGAACTAGCCATTTCACAAAAGCTATGAATGGCTGGTAGGAACATGACGTGTGACTCAACATTTTCAGGAGATGCTGATGTCTCATTTGAATGGGCAGGTGTGCAAAGTCTCAGGCATTAACCCAGGACCTGTTTCTAAATTCCAAAAACAATGGCACACTTCCTTGGTCAGCCAAATCACATCCATCCATTCATAAGACTACGTGCAAATTCCTTAGAAGGGGGGCTTCCCAGTACCAGAAGCATCCCTCTCCATACCTGCCTTAATTGCCTGTCACATGGTCACCCAAGGGCCATTTTCTTGCCTCTCCATGTAGAGTGGTTTGTAGTTTCTGCTCCAGGCTTTCTATCCCATCTCTGGAGACACCATTATTTTTTCAGGTCTTAGAGAATCCTTTATTGCTTGTAAATTTTGTTTCCCTAAAAATTATGACACAACAGGTGCCTTCGTGCACATCTACAATCCCAGAAACTTGGAGGATAAGGCAGGAGGATCTCGAGTTCAAAGCCAGCCCCAGCAACTTAGTGAGGCCCCAAGCAACTCAGCAAGACCCTGTCTCTAAATACAATATTAAAAAGGGCTGGGAATGTGGCCCAGTTGTTAAGTGCCACTGAGTTCAATTGTCAGTAACCAAAAAAAGTAAAACAAAAACCAAACAACAACAACAACAAAACTCTGACACTAAATTCTAGGGTTTTTTCTTTGGGTTGGGTTGTTTTTCCCCATTGTGTGTGACCCCTTTTTTCTCATTAGTGACTTCAGACTGAAAAACATTTTTTCAAGACTTACTTTCCCTACAAGCAGTCAGGCAGCTAGCATCTGGCAGATACCTGGTGATTGTCCTTGGAATAATGAAAATGGCAGGCTCTACCCATCACAGGAGAATGACTTTGTCCTCACCTCCTGATTTGGAAAGGTTCACTTACTCTCATTCCTGGCTGAACACTATCATCACCTGCCAGCATTCTAAAATTAGCAGGATCTGGCCTCCACTCCTCAGGTGATGGCTCAGGTGGTCTGGGATGGGCCCAGCAGGCACCGGGCAATTCCAATCTGCAGTGAGGCTTCAGAGCCGCTGGAAGGTTAATGGTGAGAATGGCTGCCTCCTCCCAGAGCTCTGTGTGCATCTCCCAAATCAGGTCAGTACCATCTCATCACAAAATTCTTATCCTGAGGCTTCTGCTTACTTTGCATCCCAGCATCATTCCCACAGACTGCAGCTGTTTCCAGGAGAACAAGGGAGGGGAAAGAAGAGGGAGGTGTGACAGCCGAGGATTGCCCTCTTCCCTCAGGAAATGCACAGTCCCAAATCCTCAGACTTCCCCCAGACAATTCTGCTTATGCTATTAATTGCCACCGTGAGCCCATTCTTAGATTGTGAAAAAAAAAATCCTACTACTTAAGCCCCATTGGAATTCCAAATGCTGAATGTGTGGAATATGGTATCCAAGAGGATATGTCTCTATCTATGTACGTGTATGTACATAGAAACAGTCACCCACCATATGATGACATTTCAGTATGGATGGATGACATATATAATAATGGTCCCAGAAGATGATAATGGAGCTAGCAACTTCCTAGTGATGCTGTACCATTCTAATATCGTAGGGTTTGTATAAAAGTATAATATATGTAATTATGTGCAGCACATAATACTTGATAATGTTGCTGGTTTATGTATTTACCTTTATCATTACTTTAGAATGCACTCCTTATTAACATTTGCTGTGAAGCAGTCTCACACATCCTGTGTTTATCACCTATCTTGATGGCATCACATGGAGTGATTGACAAGATCACATAGGTTTTGGGGGGCACATTCCAGGATGTGTACACAATGACCAGATTGCCTGTGACCTGACACACAATCCTCATAAGGTATGCCTGTAGTTGAATGACACATGACCATAAATAAAAACAGAATGTGCCAATAAAGATACATATATGGAAAGAAAGAGGAGAAAGGTTTTAAGGAATTGTCTCATGTAACTGTTGCGGCTGTTCATTTGGACAGTTTTAGGATTGGCCAACAGACTGGAAATTCCGGTAGGAGTCTATCTTGCAGTATGAAACCCAAAGGCAGCCAGGGGGCACAATCCTTCCCTTCAAGAGGTCTTGGTCTTTTCTCTTAAGGCTCTCAACTGATTGAATGAGGCCTCCCCCATTATGCAGGGGCATCTCAAAGCATGCTGATTGAAATGTCAATTTCATCTGAAAAATACCCAAGGCAGGAAAATCACTTGAGCCCAGAAGTTTGAGCCAGCCTGGTGAGACGCTGTCTCAAAAATAAATAAATAAGCAGCATTTTGTCAGTGAGGTGTACAGATGAACCAAGGGACATTGATGGACATACCGACATGGGCAAATCAGAGTAAACAGAAATGTAACATGTGCAAATGTGGCTTAGTCCTTGCTCTTGCTCTTCTATATTAGCTGTGCCTCTCCTAGATTCAGTTTCCTTACCATCTCTCAAGGACCAGGTAACTATGCTTTAGAGAATTTACAGCTCTAACGGCCTATGGATCCTGTCTGGGTTGGAGGAACAAGTAATAAAGGGAGGGGGAGAGAGAGATGGGAACCTTTCATTTAGCTACATTAATCAGTTGTATTTTAAATTTATCTTGGCAGGGTGTGGTGGCCACATTTGTAATCTCAGTGACACAGGAGGCTGAGGCAGGAGGATCCCAAGTTCAAGGTCATCCTCAGCAATTTAGCAAGATCCTGTCTAAAAACGAAAAATTAAAAGGACTGTGGATGTAGCTGAGTGGTGAAGTGCTCCTGGATTCAATCCCCGGTGCAAAAAAAAAAAAAAAGAAAGAAAGAAAATTCACCTTGTATTAGTTTATAGTAGACTACTTTCAATGCTTTTTTTTAAAGAGAGAGGGAGAGAGAGAGAGAGAGTTTTAATATTTATTTTTTAGTTATCGGCGGACACAACATTTTTGTTGGTATGTGGTGCTGAGGATCGAACCTGGGCCACACGCATGCCAGGCGAGCACACTACCGCTTGAGCCACATGCCCAGCCCTCAATGTTTTTTTTTTTTCTTGAATGTCTACCCAGCATCTAGGTGCAGAGCTTAGATGGGGTAGCAAACAATCGTGTCTACACCACAACATGGTAAATGCAATCAAGCTGACTAGTGGTGGGGATGACTAGGAAGGCATGACTGGCTTCAGAGCTGGCTCTAAGTCAGGCTTAATGGCAAGTGTCTAGGATGGGCAGAGAGTGGGCAGAATAAATCCTATTGACTACTAACCCTTATCTTCAGTTGCTACCATATTGACTTAATAAAAAAATTTGGGATCTAAACCGAATCCTTGCATGAAACATCTAGTCTTCTCCTAGTCAAGTCTGCATTTGTCACACTTTCCAAAAAAGAAAAAGAAAAATGAAGCCCTAGAGCCCATAAATATGACATATTGAGCCAATAAATACAGTTTACAAGTAATTATGATTTACTTGCAGTATCCAGTAAGGATTTTATAGTATTATAAAACTGAAAGTTGGGATCCCACCAAGTTCTCCAACAGGGATAAATACACCACTGTGTGCAACTCTAGATGCTCAGAAAATCTGTTTACCAGTTGGTGTCCCAAGACTGCCAGCCTTTGTGCCTGCTGATTTATTATTTATCTACAAGGAACTTTGCCAGAAGCCTCCAAGCCTCATGTAGGGTTTGATCCTAAAATTGAAATTGTCAGGAGTTGTGGTCTGAATATGTGCCCCACAGTTCATGTGCCGGAACCGTAATTCCCAGTGCAATGGTGTTGAGAGGTGGTGGGAGCTTTACAAGGTGTTTAGGTAATTAAGAGGAATCAACACCATTCTGATAGGACTTGCTCAAGTCACATTCTTGCAGGACTGAATTAGTTACTTCACCAGTAAATTGTAGCCAGGCATGGTGGCACATGCCTGTAATCCCAGCATCTTGGGAGGCTAAGACAGGAGGCTGAGGTCAGCCTCAGCAACCTAGCAAGTCTCTTGGCAACTTAGTGAGACCCTTGTTGAGAGCCACAGCCCAGTCAAAATGCCCCCCTGGCATTTTGCCAGAAGTAATGGTTGAGAGGCGAGCCATTAAGATGATGCTGGATTGATTCAATTGTATATAGACCCCTACTGTCCAAATCAGGCGCCCGCTACTTTGGAGTTCTCAAGAGGATCTCCTGGGGAGTTGAGTTGGTTGGTGAAGTTCCGGTTGATGTGGTGTGCCGGAGAAGGGGCGCGTGGGTGGCGTTCGGGAGAGTTCCCGGGGAGTGTGCGTGGAGTGTTGTTTGGAGTTCAGGCAATAAAGTTTCCTGTTTGAACATACAAGTGCTTTGTGGTGGCTGGGTGATTTGTGCCCAGCCAGACTGCGGCAAATTACATAGAATATTCTATGTCTTATCAACATTAATTCTGAGTATCTCTAAATAAGTCTGCATATGTTTAGACAAAAAGTGCCCAGCACCTACCTGACAACCACGGTGCTCATCGGAGGCTCTTTTATGTTCCTCCTCCATAAGCGGCACTTCTTCCACCCGTCACTCACATTGTTCATGGCTTTTCTTTGCCAGGAGTGCATTCTGCTCGGCTTAGGAGTCAGACTAATCTCTTTCGGCAATTCATGTCTTGCCAAGATCCTTTCTAAACAGGAAAATTCTGATATCTCACCTGGTGATAAAATAAGCATTATTACAATTGCATGTTCCTTTCCATCTTTGCATAGCAAGAGTAACTTAGCATTAAAGTAAGAATGGACACTCATGCCTTCTCATAATCCTTTTCAGCTGTGTCATTTCTTTATTCCAACAATATTGCTGGTGCCATTTAGACCTTAACCTGGTCCTGGACATCAAACGGAAGCACTGTAAATGCAGGAACGAATGACCAAAGCATGAAGGGACTACCATGAATACTGTTGGTTACTTGTGCATGATTCTCAAACTTATAGCAAGTTACCCTACAATTATTATTATTATTATTATCAGAATTCTCATCTTCACTTTTATTGCATACTTAGAGATGTACATTTTGAAGCCTCTCAGAAGAAATGGGATGAATATTGACCATCCTGTCCAGCTCTTAATTTGGGGCTTCAGATTACTGGTGACTTTGCCTGAGAGAGGGTTACAACATAAGAAATCAACTTAAAATAATAGCATGCCTCATCAGGAAGAACTTGGGAGTGTATTTTATCAATCATTTCTGTTTCTATAAAATTTATTTCTGGCCAAAGATAGACTGGCTTTTCTCACTCTGTTCTAAGCTTGTCATTTTTGGGGTAGGCCAGTGGGAACTGTCTTCCTTCTTGAGACTCAGGGTTTGGACCTTTGCAGCCTACTGCCAGAAATCTCTGCGTGGCCAGAGGTACAATCATGATGACAGCATGGTGGAACTTCTTTGAGAAGATGACATCAACACCAGGGGTGTTCACATCCTATTTGTCAGAAATGGAACAGCACCCTTCCCAGGTCACCCTTCCCAGCTCCACAAGAGGTAGGTGCTCCGGAATGTTCTTCCAGATGACAGTGGATGAGCCCAGTGCTTCCCCGTTGCTCACTTAGTTTTCAAGAACAATGGCAGAATGGGCTGGGAATGTCACATCCTGAGATAAAGGAGAGCTGGTTGGAACACCCTGGTCTGGCCCAGTCTCCTGTCTATAAACCAGATGTCCTTTAATGCTCCCACCCAATGACTCGAATAACCAGGGTTATATCACCCAGGGTAGACTGCTTTCCAAGATTCCTCAGCTCTGGTGTGAGTGATAAGCACACACAGATAAGACTTTATCCAAATGAGCAGCTTTTCTGAGCTGTCACACCTTAGAAGAAATGGGGATCCAGGGAGTGTCTCTGAGAGTTGGGAAGATGTTCCGTCAAACATTATGGACCAGGACCTGTAAGCAAGGGGCTGAAAGAAATAGCCACAACTACTACTATGGAAATCTGAACACTGTAGGAAGCTATTCATGAGGCTTTGGGATGGACACACTGAAATCCAAGAGAAAAAGACCAGTGTTTTGGTATCTGAGGCAGGTGATAATTGGTAGTATAGGATTCCATATTCCCAATGTCACTCCTATCTATCCAGGTGTAATTCAGCTTTCTAGAATTATTTTCTGTCTAGCACCAGAATATAATTAAGCATACTGCTTCTTTATCAAGACAGACTTCCTGAATGAAAAGAAAAAAGAAAAGAAAAGAAAAGAAGGAAGGGGAAAAGAAGACCAGCTAAGCTGACTACATAGTGTTTTTATTGAGAAAAGTTGACTTATATTGTAGGGTAAACTTCTTATCTCTTCTTCAGCTGTAACAATTTGAGAATCAACATCCACTTTGAAGATCACACCTTGAGTAACTCAATGGTCCATTGGAGCAAATTAGAAAATGAGAGAGCACTCAAAAATGTTATGCTGGAAGAGAAGCAGACCTCACAGAGATTCAGAGTGAGCCTGCCTAGGAATACGATCAAACTGGTCCAGTTTTCTTTTCTCCGGCTGAACCATGATGGTCCCTCCCATAGCAGAACCCCACAGTACCATGAATGGGCTCAAAGGATCTTAACTTGGCAGTCTGACTAAATGGTATATTGCTGGGTGAATAGGTTAATCACTAGAGGCCTCAGAACCACTTCAAATGGGTCAAGCACAGGACAGGAAACTGAGGCTCCTGCTTGGTGGTTTAAGGCCTGGGGGGCTAGATAGCCTCTACCTACTGCCTTTAGTGGCAGTACCAGTATCAGGATTTCTTAGTTGAGTTTGATTCAATTTAATTAATTCAATTCAGGTATTTGGTAACATCCACTTAAAATCTATACCTATATACTTTTATATATTTTTTTCATCAAACAAAAATTTTAAATGATTTTCATACATACTCCTATGGTTTTTCTGAGTGTTCCCCCAAAGGACCATTTGCAAAGTCTTGGTCCCCACTATTGGATGCTGTGTATCTTTAAGAGGTCCTTAGGTCATTGGTGGTGTGCCCTTGAAGCCAGTTGTGGAACTATGGTCTTTGTCTCTCCTTCTCTTTCTCCCTCCCTCTCCCTCCCCACTCTCCAGTTGAAAATGTCATAATTTGCTTGCTTCTACATGCACTGCCACTATGATATATTACCATCCACTACCCTCACCAAAACTGAAAAAGTGCAAGTGTCATGTCTTTGAAACTCCAAAACTGTGAGCTTAATAAATCTTTTCTCTTTATTAGTTGCCTCAGGTATTTTGTTGTAGTCACATGAAGCTAATACACATATACATATTTTGATATTTTAAAACATCTCAGATACTCTGTAAGTAACTATGGATAAATGAGAGAAAAAGAAAGAGAAGAATATTCAACAAAAATGATAAATTATCATGTTCTCCAGTATGAGTGATTATATTTTAGTACTGTATACCATGATAAGATAAAAACTCAGAACTCACTTTGAACATTTAATTGGGCCTTAAGTAAGTGTTCTAGTTTTTCAAATAAAATACAATAAGCATATGATGCTTCAAGAAATTATTTAAAACTGAGGGCATAGCTCAATGGTAAAGCCCTTGCCCAGCACATGTGAGGTCCTGGTTTGATTCTTCACACTACAAAAAACATTATTTGAAGTAGAATAATATTGATTATAAATTTATAGGTGAAGATTTTGAGATATTAGATTATACACTGCTTGAAGGTTTTGTTTTTATTTTAAAGCATGAAATTAAGTGCGTTTTGAATGGATGGGTGAATGGATGGATGGATGAATGGATAATGGATGGATGAAGGATGGTGGATAGATTAGAATCACATTGAATACAAATCAACACTGACAAAGTATATAACCAGTGCACCAAGCCACCATGTATATATTTATATGTGTTTGTTCCAGAAAGTTACTTTGGCACCTAATTGTATTTTCCCATGTACCTAAAATCACAGATTTGACAGTTGCCCCAGGACTACTAGTATCTGAACTGCATATACTTCTGGTAGTCGCCCTGTAGGTCTCCGCCCCAAGGCCACCTACTCTATGGGAACAGCTCTTCCCTACTGCCTCACCTCTCCTAGTATATCCCCACCAACTAGCTAAACAGCCTCAGAAAGTATTTGGGGGCAAAAGCAATAAATTAACCAAGAGAAGTAACTTCTTTGGAATTGAAAGCAATGAACAAGCAAAAGCTTAAACTTCCACTTACCTACTTTTCAGTTTAGTACAAGTAAGATATACAAGGAACGGGTTGCAAGAATACATCACACACCATCAAACCAGTAACCATCAATATTGCTCCCCTGTGTGTGGGATGGGGGGCATCAGGAGGAAGAGCACCACTTGAGGAGACTGTGGATGCAGATGGAAGCTGTTTATGTTTTGGAGACAATTATCTAAACAGCAGTATAACTGAATCCATATAGTATAAAGGACCTTCATTTCTCATTGTTATGATCTATGTCATTATTTAAAACACAAAAGAAAAACTTGGGTGTTGTGATAGACATTTTCCTCCCCCCTCCCTCCCTCCCTCCTTCCCTCCCTTCCTTCCTTCCTTCCTTCCTTCCTTCCTTCCTTCCTTCCTTCCTTCCTTCCTTCATTTTTGAGTATGCAGTATAGTCTAATACAGTCATAGCTTCCTTGTGGATGAGGAGGGCTTTGGCAGGGGAAGTGACAAAATCTATTTTTAAGTTTAAAAGAAATTTTTCCCAGAAGCTTTATACACAGTAGCAGTGAGATATCAGAAGTCATTATCACATTCATAATCTGATGAAGAAGAATATGAGAGACAGGATCATCTCCTTAGAATTGTCTTTCGAAGCAATCATGATACACTTGGAAATTGCATTTTGAAAGTGAAGCAGCCTTGTATAAAGAATTCAGGGCCTCCAAGGCCAATGTGCTCCTGATGGCTGGACCTTGCCTTAGGCCAGATCCTGAAGACACAGTAGAACTCAGAAGAAACCCCTCTTCCCTCAGTGCCAACAACCTCAGCTGTGTCATGGACTTCTTCAAATGGGCTTCCAATCAGAGCAAAGGATCGAGATAGCAGAACACCTCTGACACGAGGGCACCTCTCAGCAGTGCAGACCATTTTTACCTGGCAGGAACTACAAGGTGCTAATTACATCAGTGTTGACAGCATCTAAGTTGGGAGACTAACAGAAAACATAAACATCAGCTGGAGGATCACTAGAAAATGGAAGCCTGCTTGTCCAACCTGACGTAACCACCCACAACTTTTTCAATGCTAAGTTTCATTTTCTGCCAGGCACGGTAGAGCACACCTGTAATCCCAGTGGCTTGGGAGTCTGAGGCAGGAGGATTGTAAGTTTGAAGCCAGACTCAGCAACTTTAGTGAGGCCATAAGGAACTATAGCAAGACCCTCAGTAAAATATAGAAATGGGCTGGGGATGTGGCTCATTGGTTAAGGGCCCCTGGGTTTAATCCCTGGTATCAAAAATAAATAAATAAATAAACAAACAAACAAATAAATAAGCTTCTTTTCTTTTCATTGCAAATTTACACATGAAAAGACTTCTGTCAAAATAAATAAAATTAAACAACTTCAAGATATCTACAGAGTGAAAAGAAAATCCTACTTCATCTTGTCCTGAATTTGATGTGTCACCTTCCAAAACTTTTTTATTCATTGACATGTTTTTGTATGTACAAAGTCCAGTTTTATTTTGGCATAAACAGACTCATGTTGTGCTTCTTTTGCAGCTTGTTTATCAAAACTCTACATTACGTTTGGTAGATGTCTGCCAATCTTTGTTGTGGTTTGAATCTAAAATGTTCCCCCTAAAAGCCCATAGTTGAAGGCTGGGTTCCCATTCTGTGGTACAAATGGGAGGCGGTGGACTCTTTAGAAAGCAGGACCTAGCGGGAGGAAGTTAGGTCACTGGGAGCGTGCCCTTGAAGGGGACATTGGGACCAGGCCCCTTCCTGTCTCCCTCCCTCTTTCTCTCTCTTTCTTCATCTGGCCACCAAGCTCTGCTCCCCACTGCTCTCTTGTGACGCTCTGTCTTCCACAGGACCAAAAACAACAGAGCTAACTGACCATGGACTGAAACCTCTAAAACAAAAAGCCAAAATACACCTTTCTTCCTTATGTTGATTTAGTTAAGGTATTTGTCATAACAACAGAAAGTTAACATAATTTTTTTCATCATAGAAGCCCTCAGTTTGGATATAGTCATTTAATCATTCTGCTACTGAATGAAATTAGGCTGCTCACAATTTTTCACTGTTATAACAATGGATCAGAGCATATCCATGTCCATGCGGCTGTCTGCACAGGTGTGAGCGTGTGGGTGGAACAGTAAGTGGAAGAGGAATGGCTGATTTGAAGAAGAAGCCTATGTAACAGAATAGTGTGAATTTTTTTCTGTTATCTCAGTTGTGTCCCAAGGCTCTAAAAACCAACCAACCAACAAACAAACAAAAATTCAGCAGGTGCCAGATATCCTGTTCATAAAATGCTTACCTGTCTTCTAAGCATTCTTTAAAACACTTGAAGATTTCGGTAGCACAGAGTAGTTGTGGTCCTATGAACTTCAGCATTTTCCCTTCTCTCCCTGGCTTTAAGAGGTAACTTAAGAGAACTGGGTTGGACTAACTCCCCTAACTCCTGGTGAATTAGTTTTCTCACAGTTCAGGAGGCTGGAAATCAGAAACCCAGGTGTCCGCAGGGTCGCGCTTCCTCTGAAACCTCAAGGGGAGATTTTTCTTTGCCTCTTCCTCCATTCTGCTGTTCCCCAGGGATCTTTGGCTTTCCTTGACATACAGATGCTTCACTTTCATGTCTGCCACCACTGTCACATGGCCACCTTCTCCTCCTGAATCTCTTTCTTCTCATAGAGACATCAGTCATATTGGATTAAGAACCCACTCTGTTCCAAGTTTGACTTCATCTGAACTTAATTACACTTGCACCCTATAAAGACCCCATTTCCAAATATTGTCATGTCGTGGAGTACTGGGGTTAGGACTTCAGTATATATTCAGCAGGGGAGGGGTGTGTGGCCACAGTTCAACCCCTAACACTTGGAAACATGCATTGGGGAATGGCTGGGGCCATTTGTGAGCAGCCTAATTTCATTCAGTAGCAGAATAATTAAATGAATATATCCAAACGAAGGGTTGCTATGATAAAAAAAAAATATTTCTCATTTCCTCTGAGACCATTTCATCTTCATCTCTGGATGAAGACATGGGGAAAGGGGGCTTAATTTTTTTTTTTTTAAAGAGAGAGAGAGAGAATTTTTTAATATTTATTTAGTTAGTTTTCGATGGACACAACATCTTTATTTCATTTTTATGTGGTGCTGAGGATCGAACCCAGCGCCCTGAGCATGCTAGGCATGCGCGCTACCACTTGAGCCACATCCCAAGCCTAAGGGCTTAAATTTTTTACAAGCCAAATGTAAACCTCCTTGAAAGCAGTTGGCTTGAAACCATGTCGACTAGGATCACAAGAGGGATTCTGTCCAAGGATGAGGAAATCTTAGTTGAAACAGGAAAGACCAGTGCCATAAAAAGCTGGGAAGGGGGTGGAGCTCTGATTGAGTGTTTGTGGGCCTCCAGTGCATGTTGGTATCCTACCCCCAAGTGACTGGTCATGGGGCTGGGACCTTCCTGATGGGATTAGTGCCCTTAGAAACTAGTTCCTGGAGAGACCCACTGCTTCTACTACTAGGCAAGGGCAGGGCAAGAAGCTGTGGTCTCTCAGCCAGAAAATCCTCAGCAGACACTGAATCTGCTTTGACCTTGGACGACCCCAGCCTCCAGAATCATGAGAAATGAATTTCTGTTGTTTAGAAGTCGCCTGGTCTGTGGTATTTTGTTACAAGGGCTGGAACTAGGGCAGGTGGAGATAAAGGAAGGGAAATACTGGCAGAGGCTGTGCAAATGAGAACCCAGCAATAGGAACTCACCAAAGAACCCGCCCAGATGCCCCAGGAGAGAAAGTAACAGCTTTTCATAGCTGCCACTCTGAGAGGGCGTAGATACCAGATCACGATCACACACACACACACACACACACACACACACACACACACACACAGAGGCACTTAACCACAGAGCCACATCCCCAGGCTCTCTTATTTTTGATTTTGAGACAGGATCTCACTAAGTTGCTCAGAGCCTCATGGAATTGCTAAGAATTTGCAATCCTCCTGCCTCAGCCTCCTGAGCTGCTGGGATCACGTGCTTGGCAGTGATCTGATATTTTGCCAGTCAAGAAAAAGCTTTTTAGTTCCTCTCCTCTCCTACCTTCCACCCTCATTTGTGTCTCCTAACAGAAGCCAGCAAGGGAAGAGTTGGAGCAACAAAAAGAAAAGAAGCCCCCTACTGCCTCCTCCTGGTTTCCAAACGGGCGCAGACAGGTTTTAAACTGGATGAGAATTTAGTCCTTTGATATTAGAGAAGTCCTTTGATATTGATATCATTATCAACACGACCAGAAAAGCATGAGATTTTCCTGTAATTTCACCCAAGGCTAAGGGACAAGAAGTTAATAGAATGGGTCAAAACGAGTTATGAGAACGACAATCTCCTTCTACCAAGTTCAGTTTCAATAAGCTAATGACATACATTTGAACTTTTGACAAAGACTTTCAAATTATCCTTCAAGAAGCCTGAATCAATTCATAGTATGTGAGGATATTAATTTACCCACAAGTTCATTATGATTAATCATTTTAAATTTGAAAAGTAGGATGCCTAAAATGATCTCCTTGTTATATCTTTTACTTCCTTAAGGACCAGAGAGTTCAAACTTCTTTTCATCTTATTGATCTACGGCTAATCATGCGGATTGCCGATGCAAACATTTATCTATTCTATTAGGATGTTTTTGTTTTTTCTTGATGATTTATGTGTTCTTAATGTAATCTGTAATGTGGCCTAGATACCTGGACTGAGGGACTAGAGATTAATCAGAATACCAAGGGCCAGATTTGCCATGTAGTTTAAAAATCATTATGCCAATATCTACCTTACTTCTCTGGTTTGTGTCTGAATCACTGTGGCACCTTCTAATTTTGTCTTCTACCTGTGTCCTCCACTTAGTCATGAGAAATTCAGGAGGTAGACTCCACTCAATTCTCCAAATCAATCAAATTAGCAATGGCCCTGACCAAATTTCAGGAATAGCAGGTCACTCCAAACTGCAAAAAGTCACAGTTAGTAGCTAGGCGTGGTGGCACATGCCAATAGTCCAAAGTACTCAAGAAGCTAAGGCAGAAGGATTAAGTGAGTTCAGGAATTCAAGGTCAGCCTGGGCAACATAGCCAAGTCCCCATCTCAAAATAATAATAATGATAAGAAATTGAAGGTTACTTATAATTCCCAGGGGGGAGTATCCAGCTTCTTCCATGGCAAGAAGAGGAGCAGGAGGAAACAGAGCAAAGGAACAAAGGTTGAACTCTGACCTTCAACTTGGAAGTTCTCTCACTATTGTAAAGCAAAATCTAAAACCTACTTTGTAAATTCAGTGTACTTCCCACCTTGGTCCAATTCATCTTTCAAACAGATATTCTTTGCCTAAAGTAGAGTGATAAACCAAGTGCCTATAATCCTAGCAGCTCAGGAGGCTGAGGCAGGAGGATCACAAGTTCAAGGTCAGCCTTAGCAACTTGGCTGAAAATAAAAAATAAAAAGGTCTGGGGATGGGGTGCAGAACCCAGGGGTTCAATCCATAGTACCACAAAAAAAATTGTACAAAACAAAAGGAACTGATCACACCTGCAATGTCAAGGAAAAATTCTTACTTGTGGCTAAAAGAAGAGGCAGTTTTACCAAGATGAAGTATGTGCTTACTAATAGAGTTCATGAACACCCTCTACCCACATACATTTTTTTTTATCCTCTTCGCTCTGGTAGGATTGAAGCAGCTCCACAAGATGGTTTGGAAGCAGTTTGTGAAGGTTAGACAGAGTCTCAAAGGTATGACACAGGACGTCAGGCTGGGTATAGTCCTTATGCTCCAGTTTCTCAGGGACGATGATGTTCAAGTCAGAAGGGCTGTTGCCGGCTGTTCCCATGATGGCCCGTGGAGTTACAGAGAAGGACAAATAGAAAGCTCGAAGAGCAGAGCGTCTGACAATGGTTCTTCCTCCCAGCTTCCCTCCATTCCCAAGAAGAGACGATGGAACTTATTTTTGCTGATTACTTCACATTCTGAGAGTCACAATGGTCCAGGGACTGACCTAGAACCCTGAGTGCTCATCCTATACCTTCAAAGCAGAGAAAAGCAGTCAAGTCTCTCAGGGATTTTCTACAGAAATGCTAATTGACTTTCTGGACACGGACAAGATCTAAGGGGAAAAAAATAGAACCTTCCTAAAGGAAGGGAGGAAAAAGCCAATGTGCATCTCTGTCTGAGGTAATTTTCCCCTCTGGCACTTAGAAGAGGACTTTCACCCTGTGCAAGGAGAATTAAGACTCCACAGACAATCCAAGGGGGCCCTAAGGAGTGTGATTACATCATCACAATCCTGAGCAGATCTGAGGAAAGAACTTCATGGTCCCAAACCAAGGAAATGTCCAGTTTAACACAGGTAAGAGGCCAAACTGCGTCTTATTTTCTGATCCAAATGAACACTGAGGAAGCAAAGTAAACAAATAAAAGTGCTCAACTTTACTGATAAGAAGCCATGGTAGACCAAAGAGTAAAGGACAGTCGAGAGATTACATAATCTTGAACACACCACACTTGATGGTGAGCCCTAAGGAAACAGACTCCCTCTGAAGTGAAGGGCAACTTCCTTGTGTTGAACATTAAAAGCTCTGCATTGTTTTAACTTCTAAACTTCTTCACAATAAGACTGAAGGTGGAAGGGCTGCCCACTCTGGCCTGACAGATGCCTAGGGATTGACTGACAGGTTCTCTGCTAACGAAATCTACATATCTCTATTTCCTGCCTTTTGTCCCATTTGGCTTTCCGTCCCTTGTAAGTTCTCCTGGCCCCTGAGATCTCTGCAGATGGTGGTATGAAACAAAAAAAGTTTCCTCTCTCCTCCTTCAAAGCTGGCTTTGAGTACAACCTGTTTTCCTGCCAATTTGACTGACTCCCCAGTATAAAAGCCTAGCCTTTCTTCCCTTACCTGACACAGTAACAGTTTTGCACCGTGACACTAAGCAAGTTAGAAGCTTCTAAGAGCTACTCCCCAGTTTGGGACAAAAATGCAAATAACAGGGTTTCTTGGACCGACTCCCTGATTTCAGGCATGTTCCACCTACAGTGAAGTTCCCTGTCATTATGAATCGGCCAAGGAACCACAGTGCAACGGGGTCAGAGTTGGGGAAGATGCGCAGAGATGCCATGGGGAAGCTGCTAATGTTGGCCAGCTTTTTACCAAACGTGAAAACCTTCAGCCAGGACTCTAAGATTATCCTGACTGTACCATATGGTACATTCACCATTCATATCCAGGGCGTATATGTCTGTAGTCCCAGCTGCTCAGGAGGCTGAGGCAGGAAAGATCACATGAGCTCAAGAGTTTGAGACCAGCCTGGGCTGTAACACAGTAAGACCTTCATCTCAAAAAAAAAAAAAAATTAGATCAACTAGTTATATTTAAAAACAAACATATTTAAAATTTATTATAGAACTAACACAAACTACTTGAATGCAATGTGATTCTTAATTGTTTGGGTGTTTTGGAACAGAAAAGGGACTTGATGGGGGTAAGAAAGGTAGAATATTCTAGGAGCTGAAAGACATATTGCCCTTGTTTTTCTTCCAAGCAAGTTGAGTGTGTTACTCTGACTCTTATTTTTATAGATATATAAGAACAAACTATGTTTTAAATCATTCAATGTACTAAGGAAATGATCCATTAAAATGTGATCTTTTTACATACCATGTCAATGTTCTTAATCATTGTTTTAAGTCGTTATGGATGGAATGTTTGCAGCTTTCTGGAGCATGTTGACTGATGAAAAACCATAAGAGCACAATTATTATATTTTTTTTGAGTGACTTATCAAAACGAAACAAAATAAATACTGTCAAGGATGCTGAGAAAACGGAATACATTGTTGGTGGGAGTGTAAATTAGCACAGTCATTATGGAAAACAGTGAGGGGGTCCCACAAGAAATTAAAAATAGAACTACCATAGAGCCAGCAATTCTACTACTGGGTATATACTGAAGGAAATTAAATCAGTACATTGAAGAGTCACTTGCCCTGACATGGGCATTGCAACTCTATAAATGACAACAGGGATATGAAATCAACCTAAATGCCCATCAATGGATGAATGGATGAAAAAAACAAATGTGGTATAAATATACTCTGGAATACTATTCAGCCATAAATCTACTTATTTGTGTATTTTGTGGTACTGGGGATTGATCTCAGAGTGCTCTACCACTAAGCTATAGTCCTAATGCTTTTTTATTATTTATTTTTTAAAATTTTGATTCAGAGTTTCACTAAATTGTTGAAGCTGACTTCAAGTAGCTGGGATGACAGGTGTGTGTCACCACATCTGGCATAAATTTTATTTTTAAATGAACTGTCAGATGGGTACATTTTGCTTTTTACAATGAGAAAGACTTCTAGTAAATGGCTCTATTTTCTAATTGTAGTGATGAAAAGCACATTTTTTAGGGTGGGAGTAATAGTATAAGAGTCCGGCGGAGGATCGGAGGAAGAAACCACACAAGAGACTGGCTTCATGCAATTGGCAAAGGGGATTTATTAATTCAGCATGCTGAGGTTCCAGGCTCACTCAGGAAGACAGAGCAGCCCAGAGCCCAGAGCAGAGGTCAAGCAGAGCTTAAGTACACTTTTTGGAGAGGGTGGGGGGCTTTGCATACATCAGAACAAATCATCATGAGGCGCGGGGAAAATTGAACAACAACTCTGAGACATGATTAGTACATTCATTGGCGGGAACAGGCTGGGCAGGGGTGATTGGTCACTCCTAAGTGAGGTACACATTCAAACTGATTGGTTTTGGGGCCTGGATGCCTACGTGCCGAGCTACTCAGAGCCCTTAGCTATTAAACAACCAGGGAATCAATGGAAATATTTACTGGGCAGTTCCAGTATTGTCCTAACAGCTACAGGGATTACAGGTTCTGGTGGTAGCAGAGGAATTTTAACAATACCTAGTCTTTTACTTTTTAGCCCAGGCCTTGCAATTTAGAAACTTTACAATGCCCGGTCTTTTACACTTTAACTCAGGCTTTGCGGCTTAGAATCAGCTTAGAAATTTTACATTTACAACAGTCACTACAGATGCTGGGCTGCTGACTGTGTGATCTAGGTTCAAGCCAACCAGGCCTCAGCCTTGGGTACTAAAGAGTCTTTGATAAAACAAATGCTTCTATTTTCTCTCTTGTTTTGTGAATCTCTTATTTACAATCCAATTCTCTAAAGGCCAATATATTTACCTTTGTCAAAACCAAATTTTTAATGTATAATTATTTTGTGCCAAGAACAGATTCGAGAGCATTCTCCTAAGCCAGGGCAGGCACCTCTCCTTGCTGTGAGGTTCAGTTGCTATGACAGAGCAGCAGGCTGCTTAGGCGATTAGCAGCACATTATTAACTAAATTAATCCCGCAGTGTAGCTGCAGCAGTGGGAGCAGAACTCTGGGTTGTTTGTCTAGTCGGGCTCTTTTATTCATGAACTTTAGGTAAACAGCAATTCCTTTTTTTGTTTCAAAGAGGGTTGTTGTGTCTCCTGAATACCTTTCCCTTCCCTCGGGCCACGGTGGAGGTGACAAGGTCAGCTGGCTTCCGGAAGGCAAAGTGTTCAGTAATGTTCAGAGAAAGAAGATCATTTCCAAATTTCTCAAAGGAAACGTTCTGAAGCGAGTACTCCTATCAAAGCAGATGCAGAGGGAGGATACCGACTCCCAGAAAGAGGATCCCAGCTACACCTTTACTGGCACCAGAAAGTAAGTTCTGATATAACTTAGACCAAAATTGAAAGCGAGCCCAGCCTGGTGCCACACACCTATAATGCTAGTGATTGGAGAGGTGAAGGCAGGAGGGTGGTAAGTTGGAGGCCAGCCTGAGCAACTTAACCCTGTCTTTTTTTTTTTTTTAAGGAGGGGGAGGTGCCACACACCTATAATGCTAGTGATTGGAGAGG